ACCCGAGGTTTGGCTGCGCTGTAGTGTGTGACAACTCCCAGTTTCATCGGGTTTGGCAACGCGAGGTTATTCCGCACATCCGTACATCAGCTCCCATCAGATCAGGCTGCAGTTTGCTGGTTAGGCGCTGCATCTGAGAGGGGTTCTTTGTATCGGAGAGGGCAGGGCCAGGGCAGTGCGATTTTCAGAAAAAAGTGCAGCCATGGCCGCAGCTGAGTGAAGTTGCTGCTCTGTTGTGGATCGGCGCAAACCGAAATGCTGACGCGATGGGAGAATTATGCTCCGTGCCGTATTTCCACAGCCCTCCCGTCCCCGCTGCTGTTTTAAAAAACCCTAATATGTTATTTGCTTTACTAGTTTTCTTTACAACCAGCTCCCCATTAGCATCTCAGCTGATTAGAAAGGAGGCAGAGCTGTATCAGGAGAGATTACTGAGTTATAGCAGGAAAATCCAGCTAACCGGCTACCTTTGGGAGGTGCGTTTTCTTTTCTGTGCGTTTGGTGTTTATTTGTTTAGAAAAAACATTTTGAAGCGCAAACCCAAAAGTAACGGGCAGGTATAAGTGTCTGTGGCAAGAGGTCAGAGGTTAGAAATTCACGTCAATTCTGTGGTAGAGGCTGTGGCGTGGGACACGGAGAGGAAAAATATCTTTCCAGCAAGCAGCTTGTTGATTTTAATTAACACAGGGATTCTCGGCTAGGAACAAGGAACAACTCTCCATCTACTGGCTAGATGATTACGTCTCGTCTCCTTCCAAAACCCAATCCTCACTTAAGAAGGGCAGAGTTTTGAGGGAAGCTGCTAAGGTCTTAAGGTAAGAACCTGCCGGCGTGTTTGCTAAGAATACAGCTATTTAGACCTCACGAGTGTCATTCGCTTGTTTTTTTTTGTAGCAGCACAGAATGGCGTTTCCCCAGGTGTATTCGCAGGCGACATTTGGTACATGTGAGTGTGTTTTAATCTGGAAATAGCAGCCTTCGAAGATTGAGCCATTCTTCTAAATAAAAGAGGCGGCGGGGGAGGGAAGATTATTCTGGGGATTTTTTTGAAGCTTCTTTATCAGATACACCAAAATATGACCAATTCCCCGGGAAGCGTCGGGACCTTGTTCTGATTACAACCAGCATGCAAATACAACTGGGTTCACAGAAAACCATTAACAAGCTAACCATGCTGAGCCTCTCCAGTCTGAACACCACAGTTCGGTGCTAGGTTATCATCTTGCTCTGCCTCTTTCTTTCGGACGTGTGATTATGAGTGTAGTGGTTACTCCCCGTTTGGCTCTGTGTTTAGCATTATTGTGCCGCATTACTTGTAATTAAAATAACCTCTCCTCCAGCCAATGGATTCGTACACATTTCCAGGTTACCGGGAGATACAGTCGCTTTGCTCTGCCAGGGCTTCCCCCCTCTAATTGTTCTATAAAGATACTCGGTGTTGCTCAAAGACCGAGAGCCGGGGGGAGAGGGGCTGGTTTTGTGACTCTCCGAGGTAGCAGGGCACCAGCTTTCTCCGGGTCTGTCCGTTCGGGAATTGCCCGCAGAACACCGATGGGAATTCTTAGCAGACCGCAGCCGCTGGCAAAATGCGGGTACTAGCAGAGGTGATTTCGGACATCGAAGCGGCTCGGTCCCCAGCAATTGCGCGTTCTTAGAGCGCAGTTCATTTACAGCCCGCAAATAGCTATGTCCGAGCCCACTGCGGAAGGGCTGGGGGTGGAGAGACATTCAGATCCCCCCTGTGTGCCTCAGGTGCCTGCATTAGCCGCGGATTTTGTGGGAGGATTAGACTGATCGGTAAACGCCTTTCTCCCATCACTGCCTTCCAGAGCAGAAAACATTCAGGGCTGCAAATGTCACTGGAGCCGCCGCACTCCAAGGCCCGGCTATCAAAGGTGCTGCTGGTTGGGGGTGGGGAGCTGTTTGCTTATTTAATTACCCGGAATCGATTACATGGGAGATCGCTGGAAAAGGGCGGTCAGGTGAAAGAGGCGGTGTGCAGATTTGTCCTGTCTGTGGTCAGGTGGCCACCCCTCGATCCGGCTCGCTAAAGGAACACTAACACCCCCGCTAGCATCGCCATGGTGCGGTTTTCCCAAAATCAGCAAACGCCTGATTTCAGGCAGACTAAGGCAAAACGGCCTCTGCTTACAGCCCTCCTGCTGGAATGCCCCCCCCCCTTCTGATTAGCATTTGTTAGTTAAGAATGTCTAGGTAGAGCTTGTCCTAAATCCTCAGCACTCTGCACCAGATCCGCTCACGCCGTAAGATGCTGTAAGATGCTGTAGCCAGTAGCCAGTGGCAAGAAGAACACGGTCTCGATTACAAGACGGACACAAACGATCGCACGCCTGAAACCTGGTCGGGGCGCATGCTAATTACAAAGCTGAGAATGGCTTCTCCACTCGGAGGAGCAATTCAATGGGAGCGCCGAAGCGGAGGCACGGGCTGGGTTTTGTGATCGCTGCGACGCGTTCAGTGTCGCGACAGAGACAGGGCGACGTTTGGATGGTTTCGGAAACAATAGACTCCGTCTTCCCACTTTGGTCGGAGAGTCCCAGCCACGCCCTGCCTCTGTTTTTGTCACGACACATCGGAAATAGCACGGCACGCTGCGAAAATAGCCCCAGTGTTACCCCGCAATGTTGGACCCTTCCTAAAATGCCTCTGCGAGGGACAAGCGCGGGGGGGAGGGGAGGAGGGAGCCCTGTTAAATGAGAAACCAAATTTAGACTCAATTCGGCGCTCGTATGAATCGATTCCCAGGGGATAATCGTTCCATTGGATGTGAAAGGTCCTGCCGGCTGGGTTTAAATGATGAATTCTCTCTCCCACCCACCCAACCGAACCCAGCCAGCAACCCTCCCCCCAGCCTCCTGCTATGATAGCTGTCTGCAGCCCACCAGCCTGCCCGAGAGCAGCAGCGCTTCAAGCTACAAAGAGACACGAAATCTTAAGAAGCCTGAAGCCGATTTACCTTGGTCTTCTACGGGCCTTTTGGGAATGGAGAAGTCACGTTTGATGCTACCCACAAACTTTTCGTGTCTCTCGAGGTCAGGAGCGGTGCCCACGTGAGGGTGTTAAGCAGAAGGCAGCTTTCAGACCCTCCTGGCCTGCTTTGCTGGAGCAGCAGCAGCCAGCGTCTCCTTAACCGTAGCTGATGGAGCAGAAAGGAAGGACTCTAATTAATTAAGTGGGCCCATTTGTAAGGGGGTTAGTCACTTCAGAGTTCGGTTATGGGATCGGCCCAATTACTCTCAAGAGCGCAGTTGAGCCAAGCTCGTGATAGAAATGTATCAACCGGGGCGGGGGAGGGGGACGGGGTGTTGGTCTTTCTCAAACGCCCTGCCAGCTCGGAAGCGTCCCCTGGCCTGCACCTGCGGGCTGTTCACTGGGGCCGTTAGCAGACAGAGCGGGGAGGAAAGGGGAGTGCTCCAACTGTCCAAGAGCACTTCGCCTGGGCGCGCCCGGGGGCTGGTGCGGAAAACCCGCGGCCGGCGGGACGGGCAGGCCAGGAGAGGACAGAGGTCAAGAAGGGGCCCGGTGCCGGGAGGCCTGCGGCGCAGGACACTCGTTCCCGGGCTCGGCGACCTGCCTTTATTTCCAGTCCGGTTCCAGGGGCGGGTTCACACTAGCCCACTCCTCCCGAAGCGCTGAGCTGCCTCGGGCTCAGCCTCCGGCAGCGCACAGCAGCGCGTAGGCCCGGGCTGGAGGGACCCCGGCTGGGTTCTGGAGGAGAGAAAAAGCTCCCCCGCTAGCTGCCCACAGGAATATTTGGGAGGAGATCAAGAAAATGCTCAGGCCAGGCCACACTCGTTAGACGCGCAGCGGTAGCGGGGATGTTTATACACTCGCTCTGTTTGGAGTAATACTTCCCAGAAACGCTCTAGGAGCTACACGCCCCCCAGCGCACACACGCTTGGAGGGGTGTTTCCGGCCACACAGTCTTTCTGCAAACGGCTGGACTCCCCTCCGGCGGAGCGCGCCCTCCTCCCCTAAGCCCTTTGCCCTCTCATTGCAGTCTTCGGGAGGCAGCGAAGTCTTGGCTTGCGAGGCCTTTTGCTGAAGCTTCACCTTGGCACACTTGCTGGCAGTCCCGGCAAGTGTGTTTCCCCTCCGCGCCGTGTCTTCCTTGGTGGGAGGGGGGCAAGGGATCGCAGAGGCAACTTTTCCACCTCCTGACCTGGTCTGGGCATCCCGGCGATCAATAGGTTGAACATTTCGAAATTCCTCCGCAAACCGCGCCCGCGGCCCCGGGCTCCTTCCCCTAGTTTACCCTGTTCGTGTGGCTTGCGGGGCTAATTGACTTGTTTCCCCCAAGGAGAACCTGCTCCTGCGAACACCCCCCTCAGACAACGACTGCTTTTCAGGAGACTGTGGGATGTGTGGAAGGGACAGTCCCTCACCCCTTTGTGTCTGGCGTATCGTTTTACAGCGATTACTCTCCCATTAGAACAACAACCAGAAAACCTACCACAAAACCAAAAAGTTGATTTCCATCCAAAAGGGCTAATTACATTACTTACAGTAAATAGCAGCCCTGCTGTCCAGGGTCTAGCGTGCCAACCGAGACAAAAATCCCGGCTTATTTCACTTGATTGGCTTCATCTTTGTGTGAAATTGTAGCTTAGGAGCCGCGTTCTGGCCCGGGGAGGAGCGCAGCCGCACAGTCGGCAAGTGCCCTCCATCTCCACCGCGGAGGGGGGAAGAAGGGAGGCTGTGCGGCTGCCTGGGCGGAGGGGACTCCGGGGGCTCCCCCTAGGAGGAGTGCGGAAGGAGAGGCGGGCTGGGGGGTGTTGGCAGGAGCCAGGCTGAGGAAGGCCCCCAAGGGAGGCCGGGGAGCAGAGCTGCCGCCAGGAAGATCCTGCGGCAGGGATTGAGGTGTCAGGAAACAGCCTGCAGCTGTTGCGGAGAAGGGTGTGAAAAGTCCGCGGGGAGAGGAGATCGCAGGCCCCGCACCGGCTGCCCGGCCAAAGCCCCTGCAGGCGGCCCGCCGACAGGTCCCAGGGCGCCCTCCTTGCCCTGCCACTGCCCCGCCAGCTTAAGCGTCCAGCCCGCGTAGCGCCCAGGCCGGGGGCTGCGCCCGGCAGGACCGAACACGCTGGGGAGTTTCAAGCCGCCCTGAGAGGGGCCAGGGCTGGTCAGGGTGACGGATCCCAGGGGCCGGGCCGGGGCAAGGGGAGCGGAGCCAGCCCGCGCTTGCTGATCTCTGCCCGCAGCCTCCCTCCGCCCGAAGCCAGGGGCCGTTTCGTCTTTCCCGGGCCACTGTAACTGCTGGGGCGCTATCTGAGCGCCTCGCGCTGAATAGCACTGCTGGCAGGGTCCAGCCGCTCCCCGCAATAGCAACTTCCCCCGCGCCCCCGGAGGGTCTCCTCATAGCCCTGCCGCCCCCAAGTGCCCGCGTGGGGGGAGCCTGAGATCTGCAAGCCGGCCGGCCCCACCAGCGGAGGCATAAACACTGCACGATCCTGCACTGCTGGGGGCAAAGGTTGCAGGGCCAAGGGGAGAGAGACACCAAAACAGCCCAGTCGCGCCGCCCGGCTCCCCAGCCCCGCACAGGATGCTCTGAGTTTCCTTGGTCTCTGTAACACCCTTTCCCGGGCAACTCCTGGGAGAGAGAAGGGGGGAGGGCGAGAGTTTGGGCTGGGATGGAGGGTGTAGACCCCCCCAATCGGCATGTTTGTCACTGCTTGCCCATCTCTAGGGGGCTGAGAGGAGTATGACAGGTCTTTGTTGTCTGAATAAAAATCAGTGGCAGCTCTAGGGAGAGAACTCCTCCTACTAAATTATCAAAAATGGGCTGGCTTTAGTCTCTTAACAAATTGGACAGAGCTCCGGAAAGCAGCAGTCCCAAATCCAACCTACAGGCACTGGGAACTTTAAAGCAACCAGGGACTGCTGAAAATAGCACTTCTTTTTGCTTTCTTTGTGTTCAAAACTAGTTCCTTTCCCGACCGGGTTGGCTGTCCCTCGTTCCAAGTCTCCAGGCAGGAGCCCCGCTCTCCAGCGCAGTCACAGAGTCTCCTGCTTGCTTTCGTTACTCTGATTCTATTTTTTTCATCTCCCCCTTGTTTGTTTTCTGCACATCTTCAGGAAGCCTTCGGTGCTCGTGAGAAGAGAAGCCACTATTGCAAACTCCCTCTGCCGTGCCGGGAGCCTTGGCGTGGACATTTTGGATGCCCTAAAAACTCTGGGGTCTGTATATGGAAATAGTGGGGTGCAGAGCAGAAGAAAATACTTGTCCTTTCCGTCCCCCAGCCATGCTTTTCCACGGGATCTCCGGAGGCCACATCCAAGGAATCATGGAGGAGATGGAGAGGAGATCCAAAACCGAGTCCCGCCTGGCCAAAGGCGGGCAGATGAACGGCCGGGAAACGGTAAGAAAGCAGCTAAGGTAGCCCTTTAAAGGGCACAAATGCAAGGCACTAACCTGCACCCTGATAGACTATCTGGGAGAAGAGAGAGACTCTGCTCCCTCCCTCCTCCAGTCCCTCGCGGCGCTTCGGTTCAGAAACATTTCGGCAGCTCCCATTTAAACTCCGGCCGCTCTCTAATGGAGGCTGTTTTGCTGAGAGGCTGAGCCGTGCCTCTGCCTAACATTTGTGTGTGTGTGTGTGTGTGCGCGCGCGATCCAACGACTCATAAGAGGGAAAATATTTTAAGTTTCATAAGAGGGACACGTTATAACTCATTAAAGCGGAGCAGACTTCTGGCTCCTGGGAGCTTCGCTTTTTCGTTGACCCAGGGGTTTGGGCCGGGTTTGGGAAATGTGCCTTTCTCCCTTTGCAGCCCTGGCACTAAACTGGGATGCAGAAAATATTGGCAGCAAATTGGTTTGTTTTCTTCGAGGCAAGGGGCGGCGTGGAAAGGGAGCAGCATCGCTGAACGTTGTTTCCTACGATAAATTGTCTGGAAACAATCTCTCTTTTCTTAGCAATGATAATCGGGAGAAACGGTCGCCCGGCTTCATGCAGTATCTTCTGCAAAGAGACTGGATTCCGCCTTACTCCTACTTCCAGGGCTTCCGTTGAGCACTGGGGACACAAAGTAACCGCTTGGGAAACGGCTCTACCGTTTTGGGCTGTGCTGGGATCCCCCTTTCCCCGATTAAATAAACTCCCGAGGATTTGGCAATGTTAATTCAATTCTAACCTCCCCTGTTGCAAAAAGAAAAAAAAACCCATCCAACTGCGTTTGTATTTTCAGCTAAAAATAATTCGGTGATAAGAACAGATGGATTTTTTAAAAATAAAAACAAAACAAAAAGCGCCCAACAAACCCAAACGTGTTAAGTTTGTTTGGAGGTTTGTTTGTTATTTACAATACCCCGTCCACCTCCGTTTCTTATTACTGGGATTTCTTGTGGAAAACAGGCCAACGGAAACTTGACCAAGTTCATTAACGAAAAGAAAAGGCAATAATGTTCAGGAAGAAAATCCTCCCTGGGCACCTTCTTTTCATGGGGATCCTGCTTTAACATTTCGATCGTTCTCGGGGACTTCTTCATAGACTCTTTTCCCATCATTTCTGCTTCATGTGGCCTATTTGCATTTAGAAGTGGGGTTTAAAATAATTTAAGCGGTGTTGAAATTTAACAGGAATTGTAATTGGGAATCGCTCCACGGTTGCACATTTCCAGTGCAGCAAGGGGATCTTTTCCTACTGGTAGCCTGGACTTCCTAGCACCAAAAGGTGCCATTTTAAAGCTAACGGGGAAACTACAGACAACTCTATATTTTCTCCAGTCAGGACTAGAAAGTAATCCGTTTCCGTTTCCTAGTGAGGCCTAATCACCGGGCTACAGGTACTGACGTGAAGTTGCATCGTCAGATAAGGTTTAATGGGCTAACACCCATTAAATCCTTCCCCAGGGGAGATGGTCTGTTCCCCTCAAAAGCCAGCGCAAATGCAGCCAGTTCGGTTTCCTTTCCAGCAGCTGGGAGGTCTGGTCCGCCTGTGAGCTCAGCCTACAGTTCCTGCGGCAGTCCCAGATTCCAGCCTCCCCGCCCCCCGCTTGTCTGGATGTCCTCTCTCACCCACTTTTGTGCGGTTGTTTTGCAGAACATGCCCCCCATGAGTCCCGAGAAGCCTGCTCTGTGTGCTGGTTGTGGAGGGAAGATCTCAGACAGATATTACCTGCTGGCTGTTGACAAACAATGGCACCTCAGGTGTCTTAAATGCTGTGAATGTAAACTGGCCTTGGAGTCAGAACTCACCTGCTTTGCCAAGGACGGCAGTATTTACTGCAAGGAGGATTACTACAGGTACAGATTCAGGCCTTACCCGTGCAAATGCGCATCTTTGCTCAGAACAGCAGGGGCCGAGCCGCTCCTCTCTGGCGAGGTACAAATAGGCAGAGACGCGTCATTTATAGACCTGTGGCTTTAGGGCCACTGCATCTCACGTGCCCCCCTCTGGAAACGTCGCCCGTGGAACTTATTGACGGGGGATGCCGAGAGAGCCGAAGTGAAAGCACGTTACGGTGTAAACATCCCCGGGGGGCACAGGCGGTTCCCACTGGCGTAAGCGCTGGGAAGTCACTGCCCAAGTGCCACACAAAAGTGTCGCTTGTGTTTCTTTCCCGTTCCCGCAGGGCCGGGGAGGGGTTGGGCCAGGTCTCCCAGCTAACGGGGAACAGCTATTGTCAGATTTGGAGAATGCAGCGGAGAATAGCGGGGGCAGCTGTTAGCGGGGTAACACACCGAGCCCGTCCCTGGCAACTCAGGCCTGGGTTTGAATTCTCATCGGGCAGTGTCTCTGCGCGGGCGGAATTCCCAGCAGAGTGCAGCTTGGGGTGTTTTTGCTTTTCTGCCCCCCCCCATCCCGTGCCCAGTTCCCTCTGCCCCTCACTAGGGCTTAGCGTGGGAGGAGCGCAAGGGGAGTGAGAACAAGCCGGGAGGGGGTATATAAAGATCACTGTCCCGAGGAAATCAAAAGTGGGCGATTTCTGGTCCAGGCTCGTTTTCTCACTCGCAAAATTTCTACCGAGCCCAACGCGTTTGCATTAGCCGGAGAGCCTACGGGGAAGGCTGGGCTCCGGGGGGACCAGTTGCAAGACTTGGCGGACAAATATTATTAGGCTCAGTTAGGAAGAGAAGGAGGCGTGAGCTAGGCAGTACCTGGCGCTTGCCCTGGCCTTTCTGGTTGATACCCACTTTTCTCTTTTCCTCAGAAGGTTCTCCGTGCAGAGATGTGCCCGCTGCCACCTTGGGATCTCAGCCTCCGAAATGGTCATGAGAGCCAGGGAGTCGGTTTATCACTTGAGCTGCTTCACCTGCACCACCTGCAACAAGACTCTGACCACGGGCGATCACTTTGGCATGAAGGACAACCTGGTTTACTGCAGGGCCCATTTCGAGACCCTTTTGCAAGGCGAATACCCCCCGCAGCTGAGCTACACCGAGCTGGCTGCCAAGAGCGGAGGGCTGGCGCTGCCTTACTTCAATGGCACCGGCACAGTCCAGAAAGGGAGGCCCAGGAAGAGAAAAAGCCCAGCTTTGGGAGTGGACATCGTCAGTTACAACTCAGGTGGGAACGGTGCCCTGAACCTTTTACTCACAGACAGGGGCCTTCTCAGACGTGCCCCGTCCATCCCCAGCCAGGCAGCGCGACTGTAACTCAGCCAGGCCAAATCTTGCTTAGCCATTGGAAAATCAAACAAACCGTCCTCTGAGGGCCGGAGCACTCGCGGGAAACCGAACAGCAGCCCTTCTAAAAGGGCTGTCCGCCTCTATTAATGTCACTTCCCAGGGCAAACACAGCGCCCCGCGCCCAGCCCTAAGTCTCGGGCGATGCGGTTGTTTTGCCCGTTTGAAGTGAAAATCAAACCCTTAGCCACTCGGACCCCGATTCAGGGTCACCCACACTGAGCCACATACAAGAAACCCGGAGGGAGTAAGTCTGGTGTCCGCAGGCCTACACACAGGCCTTCATGTGACTCCGCAGCTGCTCAGCAGCGGTAACCCCCATGCCTGGGCCCAGTTTTGCTGGCACATTTCCCCCCAGCAGTTCTCTACAGCGGGACGGTCCCCACGAGATTCACAAGGAGCGAGGAAAGGGGGGGGGGGCAGCACGGCTGTTTGAAAGGCTTCTCGCGCCAGGCGCTTTGCCATCAAGTGTCAGGGGCCCGAATGGAGCCGTCCCGACCAGTCCCCCGACAGGCGGGGCAGGGTTAGCCGAGCGCTCCCCAGCGAGTCTCGCGTGGCCCTGCCACTCGGCCGGCGCGGGGGTTGTGCAGCGAGCAGCTTGGCGCGCCCTCGGGTAGGCAGGCAGGCTTGGACCCCGGTGCGCGGGATGCGGAGTGGTGACCCGCAGCCTGACCGGGAAAGGCTCCTGGCGGCGTGTCCCTCGCCACTTGGCACCGCGCTGCGCTGGCCCCGCGGAGGGCACCCAGACAAGGGGACTGCTGAGCTCTGTGAAGCCGCCCCCGGCCGGCCTGGAGCCTGCTCGCAAGTCCAGCCTGTTGCCGCCGAAACAGAGCGCTCCCTCCCGCTCCCCGCCGCAGGCAGGCGCGCCTTTGGGGCTGTCGGTGGAGAGGGCCTGGCTGCGGAGCTGCTTAGCCGAGCGAGGCTATTTCAGCTCCTCTGATGCGTGGGCAGCGGAGCCAGGGCCAGCAGCGCATTCATTGTTCTGGTTAATTGGAGATGACATTGGAATCCCTGGCTGCTGAGCGGCCCCTCATCAGGTCCCGAAGCTGGCCCCGGCAGTCCGGGCTCTAGCTGCCAGGGGCGGACTGCGGGCCAGGAGCGCAGCTCGGGCTCCCCTCCTCGCCCGCGCGCTCCCGGGACACCCCTCGTTTGTAGAGACAACTGGCTGCTGGCGTTGGGGCCGGGCGCTCGGGGAAAGGCGCGAACAGCGGCCACAGCGAACAGCGCTTGGGGCACGAAGCGGGGCGCGATGAGACGCGTTGGTGAAGGCAGCTGTGGGGCCTCCGCTGGGCTCCAGTCTGCTCGCTCTTTCGCCGCCTCCTCCCCACGAAGGGAGTCGAGGTGAGCGGGGCAGCTCCCTGCCAAGGGGAACGCGCCCCCCTCTCCCCCGGAACGCAGAGTTTACCCCGGGCAAAGTGCGAAGTAAACGGCGCCGCTCCTCCCCGGTTCTTTGAACTCGGTCAAGATGCGCCAACTTGTTACTGGGCGCAGGCAAATAGGGGCCGGCGCGGGCACATGGCCTGGAGAAAGTACATTTTACAGCCAAACGAAAGACGAGTTAGTGGTGATAATTCCAACCCCGTGACCGATTTCCCTTTCGCATGCAGGCAAGCAACAGACGCCGGTGGGTCTAGGATGCCATGAACTAGACAGCATCGCCCCGTACCAGAAAAGAAAAGACGCGTGCATTATGCAGCCACTTAAAATACATTTGCCTTCGTCTGCCTTTGGATTCAGGATGGAGAACGATTCTTTTCTGTAACTGTCTCCAAAGGGTAACGAATCTAACTAGAAGTAAATGTACAGGGCTAAAAACATGAACTTAAAGCAACTGGAGAATTGGGACACGTACACGGGTCGGGGTTTAAAGATACATCCTTTCCCAGCGCGGAGGAGAGTCGAAAAGGCAGGATGCTAGGGTAACTTTCTTTCAGATATTAGCCAAAACACGTGCTGGCTTTATCTGGAATCCTGAATAGTGATTCTCTAGTGCAACACAACAGGATAGAAAGGACGAGCTGAAAGTCTTGTCAGGCGCGGTGCATTTGATTTTAAAAGGCCTCACTAAATAACCTCAGTCGGTAGCAAGGCAGCAAAAAGGCTTTTCCTCGTGGTGGTATTTCATTAAATTCTTCGAAAGAAAACCAGTAAGTTTTCCCACCTCTAAAATATTCTAATTCCAACAAGTCTATCCTTACTTTTCAAACTCCAACATGTTCGAAGTGCTAGATGAATGTGGCAGTGACCCCTAGTGGCATTTGAAGGCAGAACTCGTTAAAGAACTGCCTTGATCAGATCAGTACTAAAACCGAACATCTATTAGTCTTTAGATGTTTAACTGCAATCTGATACCATGGTGATTTCCTGAACATGGCCACTAGTGCTCAGTGATTGTTTTGTCGCTTAGCTCTAATTCACTGTGAAAAAATCTCTAAATTTAAGAAGTGAACCCTAGAACATAACTCAAACATTTCCATAATGCATTTGGGCTAAAATCTCAAGTCTTGAAGGCTGAACTGGACAGCTAGACAGAAGCGGATACTTGCATTAAAAGTTAGATTGTAACTGAGGATGTAACAGAATCTGAAGAGGGGCCAAAAACTAATCTTTCCAATAAATCAAGAAGCCTTCTGAATCAAAACACATCTTTCATCCTTTTCATATTGCAAGACATAGGTCATTATGGAAGCAACCCCAGTTTTAAAAATAGAATGAAATGTATTGCTAGCCCTGATTCAGCAAACATACAATGGAGAAAAAAAGATTCTCAAACAAGATTGTGTTAGGTTATGTGTGTACTGTTTATGGATGTGTGTGATTATATTTTATACATACACCCACACAAAGAGGAAGGAAAGTGTTGTGGCTAGAGACACTGGAGTAGAGATCTAGCAGAACTGGGTTTTGTTCTTGGTTCTGACACAATCTTCTTTTGTGATTTTGGTTGAATCATTTAATCTCTTTGTTTTTCTGTTCCTCAACTTTAAACTGGAGACATAACAATGCTTCAGAGAGTTCTGAAGCTAATTTCATTAATATTTGTGAGGGGCTCAGTTATTACAGCAATAAGTGTCCTATAAATTCATTTATTTGATCCATATTAGCTGCTATATGTGAGAAATAATTTCTATTTTGAGAATAACCGCATTAAACAATTGTCCTAAGGATAGAAAGATAATCAAAACCAAAAAGCATAAATTATCTAAAAATGAAGGCCATTTTTCTTTCACTATGGCAATGTTTTGCAGAGCTATTGCTCAAGGATTCACACTTTTATGGAGTGTAAATGTAATAGCTATGCAAAGTGTATTTGGTGAGCTCTTGGCAGTGGGAAAAGTATTGTACTGTCCATTTTAAAAAAAGATGGTGCAAAGATGCATGTAGTAATGTATTGTGTGAGTGTTAGCTAAAACTTAGGTTTTCAGGCAATGAGTGCTGTTTCAGCCATGTAGAAAATAGACAGGTGTAATTATTATATAAATTGGGATTTTCAAAGGTAGATATGAGCCTGTCTCCCATTGACTTAGGGATCTTTGAAAAGCCAAGCCATAATAAATAAATAACTGCTCAGAAACCATGGTGATGAATATCCTATAACAGTGTAGACAGATAGATAGAGAAATTGGCATTGTTGCTGCATAACTTGATTGCTTTAGTGAAAAATGGCCTGCAACTGGCTAAAATAACTTCTTGGAGAGCCAGATTCTGATACGCTGGTTCACCCTGAATATGATTTTACTATTCAGTCTCGCTGAAGGCAGTAGCACTGTATGTGGAATAAAGTATTACTGAGAAAGATAAAAAATATTGGAAACCTGGTCCTAACTTACTTCCAAGGTAATTTCTACTTCAAGATGGTTTCAGAGCTGTCACTTTATTTTCTTTGAAAGTACAGATATGACTTTAATTGCAGCTAGAATCTCTTCCATCCTGGGTGAGCTTTCACCTGAACCTTTGTTCATGTGTTTTCCAGCTAGCATATGTAACTGTTGATTTGTCTCTTAATTCAATAGGGAGCAAAGCTCTGAAAAGGCTTGTGTTTTTTATTTTTGGGGGAGTTGAAAGTTGTTTTTAGCACTGCAAGTCTCAGAGGCTCTATTGACTGATGCAATGCAAAGCATTAACTATGGGCTTTTCATATTTTGGGGGGGTGGGTGTGTAGGAGTTGGCTGTCTGGTCAATAAATCCAGCAGTAGGGAAGTAGACCAAAAAAATTCAAATTTATTAATGAAAACAGGGATAATTTACATGATACATTTGTAACTATTTTTATTATTTTTTTAATCCCTATTATTTTTACGTGACAATCAGGCTTGTCTCCTGTGAGATTGAGGTGGTTTTGTACGATATGAGCCTGACATTTATCAGATTGTTTTTCAGGCCAAACAGTAAAACATGGATGATTTTGTTATTTTCCTTGGCATCTGTGTCATTTCTGTCCCAAGAATAGGCAGTGACCCAGCACTATCCCTGGCTCGGTGTGCAACTCAGTAATCTGTAATTTATTTCTCAATCAAAATCACAGTAGCAACCTTACATATCATTAAATCAAGGCAGAGCTTTAGCTTTGTTAGCTGGTGGTTGGTCATTCTGCAAAATGCTCTCTCTGAATGCATTTATTTTGAGTTTTATCAATTAACAGTTCAGTATTTATATTTATGAAAACAAGCCTTCCCATCCCTGCTGCTGATTTGGGAGGATTCAGAATGTTGGTTTGATATTTGCTCTTCTCTCAAGCTAAGGTGGTTTCAATGAGTGACATTTTAAATGACTCTTTGGCAATACAACAAAACCCTTCCTCACCAGAGGGACCTAAAATTTAATTCCAAAGAAGTGAAATTTAGCAGATTTGCCCTGTCCTCCATATACTGTTTCCTTACCAGGTGTCTACCCAGGAGCTATAATAAATGCTAAAAACAGGAAAGGGCCATCCTCCTGATCTTTATTTGTTGATCTAAATCCCACTTCCTGTCCATCCCAATACAATATTAGCTCAATCCTCTCTTTTCCAAAAAGAGCATGTGATTTTGGAAACTTGCCTTAGATTTATTTACACCAGTAAATAAATAGATTCATTTTCATCACCAACTTCTTGTTGTGTCATGTTGTTTACTGATCAGGTTGTAATGAGAATGAGGCAGATCACCTGGACAGAGACCAGCAGCCTTACCCCCCCTCTCAGAAGACTAAACGCATGCGCACCTCCTTCAAACACCACCAGCTCCGCACCATGAAGTCCTACTTTGCTATCAACCACAATCCAGATGCCAAGGATCTCAAGCAGCTTGCCCAGAAAACGGGCCTGACCAAGAGAGTTCTGCAGGTAAGAAGCCACCATCACCAGCTTTGACAAAACTCCCTTCCCTCTGCCAATACAATAGTATCTCCCTTATTTAGACTGTTATACGTATATCTCTTCTTAGTGGAATATTGCTGTGTCCCTAGGGAGTGTGCATAGAACTTACCGGGTAAAATACTGTATGGCAGAAGTGCCCAGTGTATAGCTCACTACCCAGATTCAGGCCACAGCATTTTACAATGTGGGTTGTGATCAGCCTCATCCTTGATATGAAGGAACTCTCCAGAGTCTACAAGCCCCATGTCACTATGTGGTGACCTCTATAGGAAGGAGATAGAAGCAACTGGCTCCATTTTACCCAAATCAAGTGCAGTCTTTGGGTTCCCTTTAAGTTGCCGCTGTGGCCCTTGGTTGGGCAAAGTCTGGTTTTCCCTGGGATACAGCAAACAATCTTTGGCAGATATGATCCTCTGGGTCCAAATTGCTCCCTTTCTCCATGTCTATCACTAAGGACCTTCATAGTAAAATCAACAGTTAATCACTCCCCTGCCAAAGATACTCCTCCCCCTGCCAAAAAATCACAGTAAAACACCTGTAAATCTCTGCTCACTGTGTGCTAGTGAAGTTAAAGGGAGGTATCTAGTGCTGTGTGCAATGCACAGAGGGCAGGGATCAAGGCAGAGGGAGACTCTATTAGCATGATTTGCTTGCCTGTGTTACATGTCACCTAAAATATTTAAAATGAACCCACGGCTATGTATGGTAGAGAAGAACTAGGAAACCCATATTAATAACTAGTGCTATAAGGGATGGCGTAATTTCCCCTTCTTAAGTGACCAGACTTTAAAAATGGTCACAAAAGTTTACCAGCTCAAGCACAAAATCCTTACCCATCCTTTACCATGATGACCTAGGTAATAGAAAAAACATCTCCTCACCCCCAAGGATATGTTACTTGCCCATTCAAAAAGTTACTCTCCTTGGATGAGTGGGTAAGAAGAATTCTGCAAGGCTGCTCTAAGAGATCATGGGCTTCAATATGCCATTAATCAGCACACACAGTGCAAGGCCTAGAGTACAGATGCCTTTGTATGATGGAAATGATACAAGCTAGCAGTAAACAAAGATGTAGAGTTACGTAGATGACTTGCCAAACAAAAACAAACATACAAATACATAAAAGCAAAAACGAAAAGCAAACATCGGTAAAGAAATCAATTGGGATTGGTTTGCAGGTTTGGTTCCAAAACGCAAGAGCCAAATTCAGAAGGAACCTTTTGCGGCAGGAGAATGGGGGTGTCGATAAAGCTGATGGCACGTCACTTCCGGCACCGCCCTCAGCAGACAGCAGCGCACTCACTCCACCCGGCACTGCGACCACTTTAACAGACCTGACCAATCCCACTATCACTGTAGTGACATCAGTGACCTCTAACTTGGACAGCCACGAATCCGGGAGCCCCTCACAAACTACCTTAACGAACCTTTTCTAACATTTGAGTTTTTTTATTATTATTCTTTATTATTATTTACAAGACTTTATTTTTTTTAAACAAACCCACAAAATATTTGGAAAAAACAAACAGCTTGGTGTGTAGCATCTGCAGCCACTTGGCAAATGAGTTTGCAGTAATATGTCTCCATTATAAATGAACATATTTTGTCTATAAATTGTATTTGGATTTTTTTTAATTCATCAGGAAAATTAAAGGAAGGTTATGAATCATTCTAATAAGTGCCTCTTAAAATTGTATATTACTTATTTCCAGAATCTTGGGGGGAGTCACAAGGGAAAAGAAAATTATGTTCCCATTCTGATAACCTGTTAAAAAGGCCTTTTACACTTCATTTAAAACTAATAGTTTGCTGCTCCAGGATTGTATGTGCATTTATGGAGTTTCAGAGTCCTAATTCTAACTTTATTTCCATAATACATGTTTAAGTTTCAAACTATGTATTTTTGACACCCACAAAACAAATCAAATTAGGAATTAGAATAGAGGCATTCCAAGTATCAATACTTTTTCTTCTTCTTTTTGTATAAATATTAGTTATGAACTTGACCCTGTATTCATTGAGCACCCAAAATTCCCATGCAGGTCAACAAACCCAACCCTGCAAGCCATTCATCCATGCAGAATGTCGATTGACATCAATGAGAGTAGGGCAAGGATGGAGGACTTGCAGAATTAGGCTCAGTGGGAGTGGAGTGTGGGTAAAGATTGCGAGATCAGGCCCTTGGTCTGTGAATTCTGCGTTATGCACACCCAGTACCCTGGATCCTGCAAACACTTATGCTCCAGAGTAACTTTGTGCATGTATGGAGTCTCACTGAAATAAACAACAGAGGAACTACTCAAATGAAAAATCCTACTGATTTTAATGGGTTTTCTTACATGAAAAAAGTTATTCTGGTGCATGACTGTTTGTGGACTTGGGCCTCAAGGCTGAATAATTCAATACAAGTATTAGTGTTGTATAGGCAAAATTTCATTTTTCCCTCTCTGCCGTAAATGCCACTGATTTCAATCTCAAAAATGAAAACAATCCACTCTACATGGCTGTGATCCTGCACCATTAAAGCCAATGGGAGATTTGCCATTAACTTTAGTGATTGTAGGAAGAAATTCTAAAAGTATACACGTGTTTTTTACTACGACAATTCTTGACAAATTAATTTTTTTCAGGGAAGATGGAAATAAGCAAAATATAATTTATTAAGATGTTTAAGGAAACTGATGTTAGTACATTTTACTCATGCTATTTTGAATTTACTTTAGATGTTTCATGAGATTGTATCAGACACTTTGTTTAATACATGAACTTAAATCTTTAGTACATTAATATTTCTAATATATACTTTAGTTTTTTAACTTTTGTATAAAGGAAAAATGCATTAGAAGAATTCTTATGAAATTTGGAATTGGCAGCGGATAGCTTTGAGGCAGATAAACTCAGAAGTCCTTGTGGATGCTGATCTAATTACATTTCCTAGTTTACAATAGCAATTTTTCTTTCTTTTTTTTATTTTAATTAAGCTAAAAGTCTGAATGGTCTGGGCAGTGGTGAATGTTCATTTGTTCCCTTTTATTGTAGTTAAAAACAATTAGACTGTGGAAAGTCTCAGAAACAACCAGTCAGTCAAGATCTACATCTTGCTTTTAGTGGATTGTTAAGAATAACTTTGCACATAGAATCCACTTTTTAGACCACATCAAATTTCTCTGTTGGTGGTGAAAGTGGCTATTTAATATATTTTAAAGGTGTCCTTTTTGGCTGTAGAAATGTGTGGTTATGTATTGACAGTTCACTGCCCACATTAAAGTGCATTATTGTAACTTTTGCTCAGGGTTTTTAGAAAATTAGCACAGAAAAGTAGCTTATTTTTTAAAAAAAGATGGAAGAGATGTTAACACTGTAATAGAAGAAAGGTGTGTTTGCCATTATATATTTAGCAAGTATGGTTATCATCTTCTATGGAGCTTAAATCTTGACTTTTCCAATTTCTATTACCTTATGGGCATTTACCACTAACCAGACCAAACAACCTTGGTAAGGCTGAGATCTTTATTAATACACTTTTACAGGTAAAATATTGATACTTATAAATTTTGTTCTTTGACAGAACAATATATGGTACTATAGATCTACTTTATTAAGTAGACTAATTATAACTCAGTTCTACTATGTGCCTTATGATATAACTTGGGAGTAAGTTTGTGAAAAATCAGGATATATGTGTTGTTTGTTAAATTAACTGTTTTAAGCCCTTTTGACACCTCACTAGTTTTGTACTGTTTTACCTCTTATTTCTGAAACTCTTTTTATGGTGTATCCTGTTAGAGGGGACAAACATGTCATAGAAAGCAGTTGTGCACTCTTTCAGATATAGTTGATAAATTCAATAATCTTATATATTGAGCTTCGTGTTTATAGTACAGTAAGTGGTCTAGCAAAATTGTCCATGTTTCTTTGTTAATTGATAAATGCATTGTATAGAAACTATTTCCCCTAAATATTTATGGACCAAACAATTGTGATATATCCTATTAAATTTGTGTGAATAAATCATTTTGGATCCAAGGAGTTTTATTGCCCATCAGTTTTTTTTTAATTTAAAGTCTATCTGTACCAATGTGTCTCTGCATTTTCACTATGAATGAATGAATGAATGAATGAATGAATGGTGTAAAAAATGGGAATGCAAGCTTATAAATGTGATTTCTTTTTAGGTTTTCACTTTCTCCATAGTAAATGTACTTTTTTGCACATGAAAAGTAATGCCCCATTGATTTGATATTGCAACCTTATTTTAGGCTTTTAAAACTCAATAACTAGCAGCTAAAGTAATTGCATGAAAAATATAACAAATAATTATGGTGAAGTGAATCAAGATTTAATGCTAGGTATATTGAACACAAACTAGAATTGCAGACCCCTAAAAGCCAGGTTGCTCTGTAGTTTAATAAATTGTCACTATGATTTCTTTCAGGGAGAACAAATCTTGGGGCATTACAGCCAAACATCCCGACGTTTGAAAATTCCCTAAAGTATTAAAAGAAGGGGAAAAGTTTGATCGGAAATCCACTGCAGTGAAGACAAAGACATTATTAGGTTATGATAATCATACATTTAAAAATATATTGAGCCAAAAATTAAAACATAAAATAAAAGACTCAAATGTCATTTCCTGAATGTTAACAAAACACATGTTATTTTATGGTGTTTAAATATCAGAACAAAAGGATTAAACAATTTGTATGGTATTAAAAACAAATTCAGAGAAACTGTGTATAAAAGCAGAGCAACCTGGCAGCAAATATACCCAGCCCATATTTGAAGACAATTCTTCTTTAAAAAAAATAAAAGTCACATTTGTCAAGCACAAGTACTTGTAAAATAAAATCCCAATGCATTCATTCCACCTGCTTGCTAATGTGTATTAGTCATATCTGTTAAATGGCATATTGTAAATTCAGAGAAAAAACTTTTCATTCATTTAAGATCATAGGGATCAAAACCCAGTAATTTTAGTACGATTGTTTCTGACTTCTTTTTTTAATAAGACAAAGAAATCTGCATGCACTTTTCCATCTGTCACCAATAGTGTACATTTCTGTATGATGAATTTTCTCTTTGATGTTTCTTGTATACTAAATAGCTTTCATTAATAAACATTTTATTTGATGCAAACATAGTTAACTTTATGTAAACACATATCTAACCATTGATATTAATTTTAATTCAGTTTTTGAAAAGAAACAGTATAGTACATTTCTATCATGTTATACATAGGAAACCAAAATAACGAAGTGGCAATATTATTGCAAAGTGTAAAATTATTTCTTTTAGTGTTTACATTTTTAATTTTCTTCTCTTCATTTGTTGTGTACAATTGACATATTTAAAACAAAATTAATAATAATTCCATCAGCCTCAACAACAAAAATAAACAATAAAATCAGCATAGGAAAGCATATGCAGTATAGGATGCAAAACCATCAATGACTTTTTAGAATACAGCGGTATAATTTATGGAATCCTGCAACGTTTACATCTTCACTATGCAACGAACACATTTGTTGAACTGTTAAGAACAGGCTGTCCTAAGAAAGAGCTGATCTTTGTCCATTCCAAATCACAGCTGAGTTTAACAAGACAACAAGCAAGTGTAAAAATAACAAATTCTTTAGTAATGAGGTTTTGTAATTGTTCAAAGTACTATTTGCAGAAAGTTTTTTTAAACTATATTGCTATTTAGCTGTATATCCAAAGCATATGTTAAACAAATTAACATATGCAAGACTTGCCAGAAAACCTTTTCATGAAGATGAAATTTTTATTATATAGAAATGAACCCTATGTAAACAATGTAACTTTTATGAATACTGACAGACATTAAATATTTCACTTACATGTACATCCTCAGCATTTTGAATGTTTTCTTAAACTCTGAGTTTCTGAATAAGAAAAAGAAAATCCAAACAACATCATGCATTATTAACAGCATAATACAAAATTGCACACAGATTACTTCAATAATCTTCTGAAAATCAGTAACTTGAATATGCAAGCTGTAGTTAGCTATAATTTACTAGTGGCAGTTATGTTTATATAACATTTTTACATTACGTGATTACATAATGTTGAAAAAAATTATCACCTAGGCCTTCAGCTTGAGAATTTTAAGTCTCGTTAAACTATGTTGTTGTATAAAACAATTAAATGACAGAAAGCAATAAGTCAAATCACGCCATACTATTCATTCCTTCTGCTGGGCTTAGACAAATAATGTAATTACAAACATTAAGAAATTGATCTAACCAGTAGGAGACATCATAGTGGTGGCTTGGGAGGCAGAAGGGAGGTGGGGTTGGAAAGTATCAATTCCCTGTAAATTCCTGTACTAATATATACGTTAGTGTTTATTATCACTACTAAATGGATTCACAACTCTTGTCCGTTAATTCTTGGAGCATACTTTCATTAAAACCTCTATCCTGTACACTGCCCATTTTCATCTGATTTAAAAGAGGGAGGGGAGATAAAATTGTTTTAGGTAAAAGCTCTAGGTGAAATCTTGACTCCATTAAAGACAGTGGCAAAACTCCCATTGACTTCAGTAAGGCCGACATTTCATCTCTCCCATCTAACTAGTGCTTTTGGGGCAGATTCTGCTAATTAATTCATACTCAGAACTACTATTGACTCCAATCAGAGTAATACACACGGTGCTATGGCTCATCTAGAGATTTAGACTAATTATATTTGTTCCAAGCAGGACCCTACTTGTTTAGCACAGGAAGAGGTGAGCAAGTTAAAATGATAGGGACTGAAACAGAAAATTAGGGTTGACAGGTGTCTGGTATTGGCCCGGACAGTCTGGTATTTGCAGCTTCTGTCCGGTAAAACCCCCCAGAAAATACCGGACATGTAAAATAGGACATTCATCCCGTGCCGCATCTGGTCGGGGCAGAGGGCGTGTGGGGATTTAAAGGCACAGTGACCCTTTTTTTGTGCAGCTGTTTTGTTTTGTTTTGCTCAACCAATTTTTTTCCCGCCATGTTCGGTATTTTTTGTGAAACTATCTGGCAACCTGACAGAAAATGAGGAACTATTTGTAAACAAGAAAAACAGATTAGTATTTGCAAAAGCATGGGATGTAGAAAATGAGAGGTTTTTTTGCGGAGGAAGTATTCATACTCCAGTTTGCAGTGGACAAATATTCACATCACAAGCACAAACATCTCTACGCATTCAGCACTACATGGCACCCTTTTTTCAACAGAGAGGCGAGTGGGACCATGCCTGCAAAATCTTGCTCCAAATTGCGTACTAGAGAAATGGTTTTGCAGGAGTTGGTCAAATGGTTGAGAGTCAGATCCATAACTTATTAAAGTTAAAGAAGACTCCTTCTGACTTGAGTGGGCTTTTGGATCAGGCTCTGAAGGAACATTGGAATCTGAATTACTTTCTTGCTCCTAATAACTTTCCCTTTCAGAACAAATTTGCAACAAATAGTACTGCAGTGGCCACTGAAATGCTGTTCTGGGATGAGGACTTCATTCTTCAGAGCTGCTAATCCAAGCAGCTTTCTTGAGCATTATACTGACTTGAGAAATAAGTTTTCCCTCCCTCCCCCACTCTGCAATATATGGCACAAATTCTATAACTGGAATTTCTAGCAGCTACTGCAATGCTGGAGAGTTATTCAGTTATTCTGCAATGTTGAACAATTCTTCTGGGCTTCTCACATGGCACAAGCCTACTGAGACACGTACTTATCTACATACTGCTAGTCTTGCCTTCAGACATTCAGGCACTTTCATAGGAATGTAAATTATTCAAACATAAAATAATACTCTTTACACATCTACACATTGTAACAATCGAGTTGATTTAATTTTCATGTTACAACTTTCCTTTATACTAATGCCTGTCTTCAGAATAGATTTTGTGTTAAGGATTGTATTGCTGTATGACTTTTCTTTTTATAACCAAAAATTAAAATATGCAATGTCTGAAAAGCATATATATAGACTACTTTGGCAGATGTTCTTTGTAATGTCTAGAACAGTGACTTTTTGTAGTCATTGAAGTGGGAACTTGCTTTTGACTATTCCACTAGTGAATTACCATTAAACAATTGCAAAGTCAGCTCAGTCCTAGCTTGTATTAAGGCAATTAGTATTAGAAATGATGGGCATGTCTTGGTGAATTCAGTTGTGTTTTGGGCCAAGTGTGCTTCTCTTATTTATGGGCTTGAGACTGCTAATAAAGCATCTTTTGTAAGACTTGACCATAACCACAAGACCAGGGTACCAGATTTAATGGATCAATGGGTCTGATTCAGTGTGGTAAATCCTGTGGTAAGTCCCCATGTCTATTTTGTAGTCTTTTTAAACTGCACTGTAATAGGGGAGAAAATATTTTAAATTATTCATTTTTTAAAACATATTGCTAGTAAATAAAGGTTAGCTGGTCTATCTTGCACTTCAGCTACATAGATCAGTAGGGATCTCTGTCTGGAAACATGCACAACATATTGAATCTTCAAGGCTTTTGTGTCTAGCTGTCCCTTGTCTTCAATCAAATAAACAATGGAGAAGGAACAGCATAAGAACAGGACTAGAGAATTCACATATGCCCACTGTTACCCTGGAACTAGTAATGTTTAATACATTTGGAATTTGGACTGCCTTTATGATGTTAAATGTTCCAGAAACCAGAAGTCAGATTCTCCAGCACACTGTATCTATCACCAGTGGCTTAGTCCCCAAATAAACACAGAGTTGGGTATGAATTTAACCAATCTATTAAAGCAATTTAAAGAATGTAACACCATATACAATAACAAAACCCCAAACACCAGAACATAACCAACCCACCCCCTCAAAACTATAAGTAACAACAGATAAGACAGTTCCCCTAGATATAAAGCAAAGGTAAATATATATATTACTGTATGCAATGTAAGAAGTGACTAAAGAGC